GCGCTTCCAAGTCCTTGTCGCAGACGCGGCCGTTATTCGCGCGATCGCCAGCGGCGAAATGCGTCTCCGCGAATACACATATGCGCAGGACAACGATAAAGTAATCGGGGCGTATCAGTCGTCCTTGACGAGAGTGTTAATCAAATTCATCCTTTATTCAGTATTTATTACTATATATCTCTGCGTGGTGAAGGGGATTAGTTATTACTTGAGATCCACATTTTACAAAGTTTGCTTCTCTCCCCTCTCTTTTTCTTGCTCTCTCTCTCTCTCTCTCTCTCTCTCTCTCTCTCTCTCTCTCTCTCTCTCTCTCTCACTATCGCTCTATCTATCTCTACTCACATTCGCTCTCTTGTAAAAATGTCCATTGCGGCCTCGTGAAAAAGGTGTCTCAAAACACACAGAGGTAAAAACACATGCAGTGTTTTCAAATAATGATACGTAAACTTTATTTCATGTTAGATTCTCATGTTGTGTTAATGGTAGTGTTATGTATAAATATATACACATATATGTATAATTCTCTTACACCTCAGTAATATCATTTTCTTACGTTACCTTAAGCTACCCGCTGCGATTAGTAAAAGTAAGACGTGTGTTAATCCCTTATATTAGCTAGGTGAAAAGAAACAAGGGGGAGACAGCGAGGGCGCCGGCCAAACGTGAAAAAGACCAGAATCGACCTGTCTAGAGCGACTTCCCGGCCCCGCGTATTTCGGTCCCCGCGGCTGTCGCGTTTCGGACCCGAGGTGGCCGCAACCGAAGTGGGAAAGCTTCGAGCGAGGCAGTGGGGAGCTTCTCGCCGAGGGAAACGCTCGCGCGAATCGAGAAAGCCCGAGGACCTTCGCGCGCCCGGAGCGCGATTAAGGAGGAACAAGCGCGACGTCGGGACCGAAATGCGCGCGTCGGCTGAAGCGGAAGTCTACGGAAATCGAGTGGAAATTTGCCATTTTCATTGCGGGAACACGCGTCTTTGCTTTTTTTCAATTTAAATTAATCAGTAGAGCTAACGATATTGATATAGAGAACCAATCGTGATTATCGTTACATTGGGATAAATATGACGAATTTCTCTTTCCCTCCCTTTATCGATGGGAGTGACAATTGTACGATTTCTGACAAATAAGAAGTTCGGACGATTTTCTAACTATTTATAGAGACTTACATGGGGATGGAGGGAAAAGATGTTCCGTCGCATTTACCCCAGCCGCGAGAACAGCAAAAAGAACCTCAACGAAGCTATGGATATTGTGCGAGTATTGTGAACAAGCTTGTAGCTTGTAGCTTGTAGATAGACCGGATCGCATTCGATCACTGTCACATAACGTGTGTAGAAAGTAAGAAAAAAAGAGGGTTAAAGAAAAAAAAATGAATAAAAATCCGAAGGGCTACACGACGAATATGCGTTCATCGCTGATATCCGCTCGTCCAGAGTCGCCCCTCGGATATATACAGAAAAAACTCGAGTTTCTCCTCTCTCACGGCTCGAACGACTTGGGCGCGAGGCGGAGGCGATCGCCGAGACTCTTCAAATTGCAATCTCGCATCGTAGATTTCGGTTTCACTTCTACAAACGCACGCAGGTAGATGCAATTGCGACGGTACAAACGGTGCTGTGTAAAGGGGCCCCCCTCCTCGCTCGTGTACAGTCTAAGCCGGCGGAAAAATAAAAATGGAATGTATTTTCGAAACTCTTTCTTTTAATAATCATATAACAATGCTCGTTATATATTCACGATCAACATACATTACTCTTATCTATATGTTGCAAATTACATAAAAAAGATATCCGTTTTGCATTTCTAAAATTATAAAAACGACGGTAGCAAAAGTTTCTTTTATTATTTTCTTTCTTTCTCTCTCTCTCTTTCTCTCTATCTCTCTTTTCTGGAACTGGCGTTGTGAACACGTCGGAGCACGTGTGTGTGTGTGTGTGCGGCGGCGTTATTACGTTTCTGTTCTCTTTTTTTCTTCCTTTTTCTCTCTTTTCATTTATACACTAAAAACGATCGGTAAAAAAAGGACGACGACGGGCGGTCATAAGTGTAACTAAAGTTTTTTTTCCTAAGTCACTCTGCGGTTTCTTCTTCGTCGGGAGGAGAGGTAAAGACGTTTTTTTTTTTCTCTCTTCGGTTATGTCGGCGACGTCTTTTGCTCGGGGCGCCGTTCCGCGAGAACGGCCGAAATTCCGTCGCGCAAACAGAGGAACACACGCATCGCGTAATTGTGCAATTCTTATCCGCGCCACGAATGCACTGTTATCGGAGGACGAGAGCGCGGAGCTGCCGAGGAAGGAAGAGGGAGAGAGCGACGGGCCCCTCTCCTCCCTCGCACGGCGGCCCGCTGTGTCGAGGGGGATAAAAACGGGGAAAGAGATCGGTCGGCTCGTCTCGACGGAAGGGGGTGTGGGTGGGATAAACGTTACATTATGCGTCTCATCAATCTTTAATTAGATAATTAATTCACTATTTACGAAAAGTCATAATAAAAAGTAGTACTCTATATATTCGGTATTTCAATAATAATATTGTAATAATAATTATCATATTCCATAGCTTTGTCTGCAGTTATCGTCTATATCGGATAATTAATTAATTAATTAATTCATAATGTTACTCTTCATTGTCTCGCGCGCGCGCGCGCGTTTTTTTTTTTCTTGGGGTGTGTATGTATTATAAATCGCGGCCTACATCATCCTCGGATATACGTTCGATAAATATAAAAAAAGAAAAAAAATTGGTGAAAAAGAACAAATAAAAATCGTATATAATATATATTTATATATATATATGTATATATATATATATATATAGCGTTGCGTATGTTTCATTCACCTCTGTCTCTCGATCTATCTATGCACCGCTCGTTCGCTCGCTCGCTCGCTCGCTCTCTCGCTTACAATAGTAAATCGCTACGAATGCCTCGCGCACCAACGCGTCCCTCCGCGGCACCGACTTCGCCGCAATGCACTTCGCACGCTTCCACGTGCAACCGTCCATGAGAGAAATGCCTAGAATGTCGGTTGCAAGCACCATTGGTTGGTATTGTCGATCGACCGTGTGTCGCGCAAGGGTCCGACTATCATCGCGGCCTCACGTCGCTCGCCCTTGCACCTCGGCAATGGGCGCGCCACGGAGACGGCACCAAACGTCGTCCTCGAGCATCGCTCGATCGTCTCTATATCTGCTTTTACCTCTTTCTCTCTCTCTCTCTCTCTCTCTTTTTCCTTTTTTTTTCTTTCCGTCGCGCGCATACGGCGAGACGACGATCGGCGTGCTGTTCGGTTTGATATTAATAACAGAAGCTTCATTCTTCTCGTCAACAATTTAAACGTTAATGTCGGGCGCGCGTACACGCGCGAGTTTTCGCGTTGGCGCGCGCAGCGTTCGAATGTCTCTCTCTCCTCCGCACTCTCGGTAAAGAGTCCACTACCACAGAGGTACACCACTTTCAGAGATTTACAACACTGCCCTAAACACAGCCATACTAAGCCAAATACTTTTGGGTTTTTTGTCGTTTACGATTATTCCCTCATTTTCGCTAGTAAAATCGTTTATTTAAATCTACACTCGATTACCGTTTCCGTTTAACTTCGTCGTGCTGTTTAGCCTGTTCATTTTCTTTCTCCTCTTTTTTTTCTCCTAGCTCTCGCAGCAATCTTCGCTCGTTCGCCTCGCTATTGTACAATTTTTTAAATAAAACTTGGGAGAAAGAAAGGAAGGAAAAGAAAGAGAGAGGGAGGGAGGGAGGGAGGGAGGGAGCGAGGGAGGGAGGAAAAGAGGAAAGAAGGAAGGAAGGAAAAGGAAAACTGCGCACACACCGGATGCGCCTGGATGCGACTCCGTTCGAGACTCTTACCGCGAGGTCTCAACAGTCCGACGACGTTGTACACATAACAAGCGTATCCAATTCGCAAAGAGAAGAAATGAGGAAGAAGAGTTGAGACATGCTTCTCGTTCCTCGGGAGTCAAAGTCCTTCGGATAGCCGAGTGTACGAAGAAGCGTCCGACGCATTCTTTCCTCCGCGTAACGCGAGCTAAGAGCAAGGAATGCGCCTTGGTGTCGAGTTTTTACCGTTTCACCGAGATTTCTCGTCTTGCAAAATAAAGTAAAAAAAAAAAACAAACGGAATTCCGGAGCTGGTGTTATGTGCGTGTATTAATATCTCTCGACAATGTCGACGTTCGCCATGCTATTTGGCTAACGTCGACATCCGCCACAGGAGTAGTCGCCGGTCGCCCGAGAATTTGGTCCACCCAACCAAGGTCGACCGCTGACCTTAATCGAGTTCTGCCGTGCGATCGACGGCGCGGCGGTCATTCACCGGATCGTCGCGTCGTTCTCGTCCCTTTTTGTTAATTTGCCAAAGTGACTTAACGAAAAAGCGAAAGAGGGGAAGAGGAAAAGAAAAAAATAATACAAGATCACCTTCCACGTGCTGTTGAGAGCTGTTCGAACGGTTTCGCGTATGCGCATCCGCGTATACTCGCGAGTGATGTACGCGCGTGTGTATTGCGTGTGTACATATGCTGGCGTATACGAGTACTTGCTCTTGTATACGTGCACGCATACTATATGTGTGTGTGTGTGTGCGCGCATGTGTGGCTATGTGTACGTGTACTATACGTAATAAGTGCGTGTCCCGAGCGTTTCTCAGTGTGTGTATATGTGTGCGTGTCTCGTGTAGCTAAATTATAATATGTGGTGTTTCTTTATTCACATAATCTTTACTCGAAGTTGCGGCAGCGTTCGCGTATATACGGAACGCAACTTTACGATCGCGATCAGACTGTTTTTTTTCTTTTACGTTAGCTTTTTGTTTCTCATGCTGGTGTGTGTGTGTGTGTGTATGTGTGTGTTAGTTAATCTCTTTCCTTCCGATTATGTTTTCCTTTTAATCATCATCATCATCAGCTGGTATAATTACATGATAGCTACATTATACAAAGTGTACTTCAAAAATATCCGACGGCCACGGACCTTTTGAAACACAACATGCTCACACATTCCACGTTATTACTAAGTCATTTAAATAGGTGGCGAAGAAAAAGGGGGCTGAGAAGGCTTCCGGAGGTAAGGAAGAGGGCTGGGGTGAGGGGGAAAGGTCAGGCAGCGGAGAGTGGGGAAGGCGCGGGTTAGAGGAGAAAATTACACTTAGAGCTTTACTATTATACAACACTGGCATACTGAAGTATAGTGTGGTTCGGTGTGTTTTGTACGCGGGTGCTAGTGACCCGTGTAATAACGCGTGTGAAATTTTCTCTCTCTCATTTTTTGCAAATATTACAATATATCTATTTATGAATTCATCATATTAATATATAGAATAATAATATATAATATAATATAATAATATTAATAATAATAATAATAAATCAAAAATAGGCAGGTAAAGTAATAATCGTTATTATTCTATATCGTGTAATTAATAATATTAATAATAATATTAAAATAATAATATTAATAATAATAATGCATTATGTACAGAGCGGTTTTCACGCGAGGGCCCGTATCGAATACGCTTTCGTAGCTACATTTTGATTGGACTGTACACGCATGGACCCTCAACTGTGGAAAAACTGTTCGTTTCTTTCTTCCCCTCTATCTTTTTATCATCAAATTTAACACCCATCATAAATCCTCCCAACGCAGATAGCAGCCTGTTGTGAATTTCTAGTTTTTGGTTGCGACAACGTTAATTTACGTTTATGCTTAATACGTTCTGTCAAGAGAATCACCATCATTCTCGATTTCGGCGATTCCGCGTGCTCGAGAATGCGAGTACCGCGACGTAATTCATAAAATTTCATGGCGCTAAGGTACATAACCCCTTCGGCGGCCCATCGGGATTCTCTTAATAACAAGATTTTCCTTAAATGAACGTATCACTTAACGAACTAGATTCTCTGCTTCACCTCTCTCTCCCATACATACAACGCTACTAGTTTCCCTATATTGTTTATCTTTCATACATCTCTCTCTTTCTCTCTTTTCGTCATATATATCTCGCATCTCGATACGATAATATTAATGTTGTTGTATAATAATTGCATATAATTACTACACTCTAATAGTATTTGAACTATTAATTATCAGTTAACGTTAAGTATACACAACACATTTGTACGATTTCACTCAGCCTGCGCGAGCAGCAGCGAGGAAGTGGTGGTGGCGGGGAGGGAGGGTTTTCGGAGGGTTACGAGGGAAACTTAATAGTAGTCTCTCGATTTTGTCTTTAGTCTTGAATTGTTTTTTCTTTCGTCGCTCTACCGGTTATTCTCCCTCTCGCTCTATGAGACTGACCGAACGAACGACGAAACGACTCGTCACTTGGAGTCTCTATTTGAGCCGGGCCGTAGCATCGAAGCAGCACCAACTGTGGCGTTGTCTCTATTCCCTTTACGACTTAGGACATCTCGCGTAGAGGATAATCGAAAGAGAAGGAACGCGAAACGATTACGAGCGTGTGTCTAAGGTCGCGCTCTTTGGAATCGGCCCGTGGACAGCGCGACGCACGTCTGGGGTTCAACCAGACTGTGCCCGATCACTCGACGAAAGCGCGGAGCACACGTGTGGGTGTCTCTCGTTCTTTCTTTCCCTCTTTATATATCGCGCGCGCGCGAAGGAGCGACGAATTGACCGTATCTATGGACCTGTTCCGCGAACGTTCCGCGTTTAACACGCGTAGCGGAGAACGATACGCGTCGCCCGTGCGTGCGCCGTAAGAGAGTCTTCACTTACATTAACCGACGCCATCACTAACAGTCACTACAACCCCTCGACGAACTTGGAGAGTTGGTCTTGTGGCGTCATCGGCGTCACCTCACTGGAGTCTGTGCCGCTCGCCGAGGGCGCCGGTGCCGGTGATGGATGGTGAGGCATGGTGGCGGGATGACCGGCAGGCGCCCCGGCTGCGCCACTCAGCTGCGAGAGCATCATCTCGCTTGGACCGCCGAGCTCGTGAGCGGGCGAATGGGTAGGTGTGCCGTGCGGAGGATGATGGTGCGGCGATGGCACCGGTCCGGAACGCGGCGAGGGTACCGGCTGATTACGGGGTGAGGGGACTGGTCGCGGCGAGGGGTTGGGCTGGGGAGATCGATTGGGCGGCGGAGAACGGACCGCTTGCATCAGCTGTTGCTGCACGGAAATCCCCGGTGGTCCCATCACACCCTGTGGTGACGGTACGGGTGGCGGAGTCGGTTTCAGGCCCTGTTGACCGTAACCTTGCTCGTTGAAACCACCGTAACCTGGGGATGAATTCGCGAAATAGCCCATAGTGTTGTTCATCATGGGTCCGTTGGCCTTGCGTGCCTCGTTTTCTATGGTACAACGATAGATCGATTGATTACCGAGAAGAGGCGCCCTTATTGCGGCCCGTTGCTGACCATACGGCGGCGCCGGTGGTTGAGTGAACGGCTGCTGCTGCTGTTGTTGCTGCTGCTGCTGCTGCTGCTGTTGTTGAGCCTGCTGTTGGGCCTGTTGCTGCCTCTGTTGCATCTGCACCATCATCTGCTGCTTGTACCATTGTGTCTGAGGCTGCACCGGTTGCTGTTGTTGCGCCTGTTGCGTCAGCATTGCCTGTATTTGCAGTCTGCCCTGTTGCTGTTGCTGCTGTTGAGCCTGTTGCTGCTGCTGCTGCTGCTGCTGCTGCTGCTGTTGTTGTTGCTGCTGCTGCTGCTGTTGTTGGGACATCATATGCTGTAAACCAGGTTGTTGTTGTTGGGGTTGATTAGGACCTAATGGGCCGCCGACACCCCCGCCATGCTGACCAGGTTGTTGCTGATGAACATTCGCCTTTTTACCAAGAAGATCATATGGTAATAGAGGCTATAAAATCTTAATATAAATCGTGTAAACACTTGTTTTACAAAAATAACACAAACTTACCCGTTGTTTGATGAAGGCGGCCATCAATGGCGGATTGCTTTTGAGTATTTGCAATATTTGGTTCTGCTGTTCGGGTGTATGCGGGCTTCTGAGAGTCTGCATCAGCTGCTGCAATGCATGCTTCTGCATATTGCTTTGAGCCTGTGGTCCGACTTGCCCGACCGGTCCGATCACGCCCTGTTGACGTGGCATTTGTGCGCTCATTCCCATTCCCGGCTGAGCTTGATGCTGTTGCTGCTGCTGCTGCATCAATTGTTGCGGAGTTTGCTGCCGTATGCCAGTGTTTTGTTGCATCACTGCGTTTGGTTGGTACCTACTGAAGTAAGAAAAAGAGACGTATATAAAATAGAAGATACTTTAACTTATATTGTATATTATGATGCATATGACGGAACCAAAGTTTTCTTAGTGTAAACTAGTATTACATAAGACAGATAAATAATAGTGTTTCTTATTTGTGAAAAAGATATTCAATTTATCGGCCGATATATTCTTCTTCTACACTAATTTTAATAAATTCTACCAATTATTTACATATAACGGGAAGTACCAACGGGATATCACCAACGCTAATCGCTATAATGACGGAAAAAATTGTATAAGAAATCGAACAGTATGATTTATAGAATTTTGAAATTACAAGTAAAACAATAAGAGAGAAAAAGAAGAAAAGAGATATATATTATGTTGCTTGGATAGTACAGTTGAGAGAGCGGTTTGTTCAGCAAAAGTCCGGACTCAATTAGCGGTTTAGTCTACCCCTCGCTGCCACTCTGTATTTTCTCACTATTTTTGCAGATGGAAACAAGAAACATAAAATTTTTAATTCTTACGAGAGTAAATTTTACTCTTCGGCGACATCAATATTCCAAGTGGAGATTTAAGTCTGTTACAGTCTATTGAATTTTGTCTGTCCTGTATTTATTTAGTTATAGCCAACAGTCATCGCAAGAGTAAGTGTGCTCGGTTTTGGATTCTAATTATAGATTTTTATACATATAAATTGATATAAAGACTACGAAAAATGGGTTAGAGAAATATTACTACAAGCACTCGAGGTTTGCTTAACTTTACTCCCTTTGTCTAGTTTTCTCTTAATAAGAATCAAATTAGACAAAGATCTAACACCTGTGGATAGTGGAAGGGTAAGCTCTATCTGTCAATTTTATCTTTACATCTTTCATAAAAAAATATCAATCTCCTGTATACATAAGTTTATGATTTTGTCTCCCTAAAAGGGTACGCGTCAAAAGCCTAGAAATAGCCCGCACACTCTCATCTATAGATTTCTATATTATTCTACACTCAAAAAGGACTTGTATTTATGCACGTATTTATTCATTATCAGAACAATTAGTTATCGAGTGAACGATTCAAACTTAGTTAAGAATGGTACGGTTTTTAGAAGAAAAAAAATTGCCATATACCTCGCCGTCCATTGATCCATCGGAATCAGATGTGTGCCGCCAGGATTCGCCATTTGAACTGGCATAGGTCGCTGCATTTGTGGCGGAGGCATCACACCGCCGGTTTGTCCACCCACACCAACGCCTACACCGACTGCACTGGTTGGTGCAACCTTGCCGTAGCCAACATGAGGTACTTGTTGCCTCGCAGCTTCCTCCTGCACTTGCTTGACCACCTGCAATACGTGAGCGGGCGGCGTTTGTGTACCAGGCTTCAGACCAATACCTGGTTGATGCGGAGATGGTAAGTTCGTAGCGCTGACACCGGGCTTCATAGCAACTCCGGTTGCCATAGCGACATTTGAAGTCTGCTGTCCAGCCTGCATTGCGGCCATAGGTCCAGTCGGCCTCGTGTTCATCACAGCCATTCGCCTCCTGTATACAAACCGAACAACATTTAGCACAATGTTCCATTGATATAGCTATATACGAGAAATTCAATAATCATTCTACTGACCTGAGTAATTGCGCCTGTTGTAACCGTTGCTGAAGCTGTTGCTGCTTAATTTTATGTTTGATGTTAGAGCAGAACGGAACAAGACACTTAGTCTCTTGGCAGTGTTTCGCGTGGTAACAACAGAGCGCTATCAACTGTTTGCATATCGGACATCCGCCATTCGTCTTTCTCTTACAATTCTTCGTGTGCATTACCACTCTCTTCATCCTCTGGCAACTTGGCAGACGACAATTAGCGTCTCTGCACTGGCAACCATGCACCAATGATTGAATGCACCTTTGTATCGACAGTTTCCGAGCTTCCTGTATTGTGAAAATATATTGTAAAAAATATTGTATGAACATCAAGATCTTTTGCTCTATAATACAATAAAGTAAAGCATAAATTACTTGTGGATTTGTTTGTTTAGCATCGGCCGGCGATGAACCGTCGTCCAAGTCGAAACCGAGTTTTTCCATAGGATGCGGATGACCATCTTTGTCTTTACAACTAACGCATAAGTCAAAATCCTGTAATAAAATGAAGTTATAGTAAACATGTGAGTAAATATTGAACAGAAAAAATAGTAATGCAAACGGGATACATACGTCGCAAACTGTACAATGGTATCTAGTCTCCACATGACTCTTACAATTGTTGCAAGTATAAACGAATTTGTCTTGGCCTTGATTATGCAACTCGTACAACATTGACATAGAACTGAACTTTGCTCTTCTTAGTGAGGAGAACTCGTAATGCCTTTCCCTCGCCATAGTAAGGAAGGCATCTCGGCCGTCCATCAAATCACAATTAATTACAGGATCGGGATCTTGGATTGGCTGAAAATTTATATCAGTGTTAATAATTGTATCTATCTGTAAGCTTCTTCTATAGCTATTAAATAATCCCATATATTCATCGCTTAACTTATTAAGTGTCTGTTGGAATATATAATAGATATAAAGAGAACTTACTGCCAAGCTGGCTGCACTTTGGGCGCTATGCAACCTGATAACGAAAAATACTTCTTTGTGTTTCTCCATGGTTGCGAAAATTTTTGCGGAGAGATCATTTCCAGTCTGAGGAGTATTAGATTTCTTACTATTCTTCCTTTGATTCGCTTTAGACTTGTTGGATTTCTTTGCCTTCTTTTGACCCTTTTTCTTACCGTCCGGAGTTTCAGAGTCTTCAGACAGCGAAAATATCTGAAAATATGAGAAATACATATATATATATATATATATATATATATATAAAAGATGAGAAAAAACATATATGTATATATAAAACAGGAAAGACAAAATTTTGAGAAAAAGATCATTTATCGCAACTTACCGCGTTTGCCGCTGCAGCGGCGGCTTCTGCCGCTTCAGCTTGTTTTCGCTTTTCTTCCTCTTCTTGATCTAATTCTTTAATACTTTCTTCTAGCACATTCGGCCAGAAGTCACCTTCAAAGTACGGCAAGTCTGCTGCAGATGAAAGCCTGTCTTCCATGGCTTGTTTTAAGATATCCTATATGACAAAAATCTCAATATATATCTCCTGCTCATCGTATAAACAATAAAAAAAATAATAATAAAAGAATATTTGGTAGAGAAATGTCGTCTGCAAATCCTATGTTCAGTGTTATGTACAACAAGAAGAACATTAGCTTTACCACAGTCTTTGATTTAAGTCTCATTAGACTCCGATACGATATTGAAACACATACCGGAAACACAAGAGACTAAGTATCTATGTTGATGTATAAAACACACTTCTCCCTCACCTTGTAGTCGAGCACAATCCTTTCGACCATTCCCTTATCCAACATCTTTTTATACCACTCCTGCAATCTTTTAGGCTTTGGTATTTTCTGTTCTTGGGGATGGCAGTGGAAGATATAATCGTCCCCTTCGGAAGGTGGACATGCCCAAATGTGCGCCATAGTATACCTAAAATTATATTTTTTAATTGCAAATTGCATATATATATATATATATATATATATATATATATATATATATATGTGTGTCAGATATGTTGCATTTATATATATATTAAATATATATTCTTCCAATATACTAGCAAGTTATTATAGTTATTATATTAATGTATTAAATACCGAATATAGCTTCTCTTGGATATTGTTTTTGTATTAATTGTTGTAATTGTACTCACCCAAGCTGCTTCGCGTAGTCCAGATATCCAAGAAGAATCTCGTGGTACACAGCTGTACGAAACTGTCTAGGCCGGAAAAAGTGCACGGAGTCCAAATACGCGATATATACTCGTCTAGTGTTCGGTGGTGTGCATTCGCTTCCATACTCTTGCACATGCATACCGAAAAAACACACGTCTGTGCCGTCGACTTCCTCAAATGCGAATAACGCCTTTGCACGATAAGGAAATTCGCCGGGCATATCACCGTTCTCGACAAATCTACTACGCATGCCGGGTTTAACCTCGACCACTTTATCACTGGACGCGACCACTCTGATCGCGACTTCACCGGCACCAGCTTCTTTCTTCTTAAGAAAGTTGTTCACACGCGTCTCGATATAAGTGCCGAGTTTCGTAATAGGCAATCGTTTGGCGTTAAACTTGTTCTCTTTACGTTTCTGACCCTTCTTCTTTAAGCAATTATCACAGGTAAATCTATTAAAAGGAAAAGCAACTTCTAAGTGACACAAGTTATCTCAAAATTTACTCTTTAACGTAGCTATATAAATAACGAGCAAGAAGCGAATGGGTTAGTTAATTGCGAAAACAAAGTCGTATTTTCCAAAGCTCCTACGATTGTTTGATAAATATTAAATGTTACACACTGATCGTTGTCACTCACCCTAATGGCCAGATTGCTTCCATATGAAGTACACATATTTGATGTACTCTCCTACCGCAGTCCGTACAAGTAACAAAAGGTTCCAATTCCAAGTGGTCATTCTTCATCTCCTGGAATTGTTCCTTTTTGATGGCACTGCAAAGAAGAAGCCTTCAAGAAACCGTCCTTCCAGATAAATGCAACAGATTGCGCACTAGATTTTATATACTTACGTTTGAGGCTGTGTCGGATCATCTCCCAACGTCACTGTATCACCAGGAATGTCGTTGAAACATTTCTGACAGAAGGTGTATCTGTCGGAAATAAGACCATATGCCTTTAAACTGTAATATACAATTACATTGTATACGGCGTGTCATTTCATCACAGTGCCATGCGTGCGTTTTATATTGCGTGAGAGTTCGATGAGCGACGGTCAATTTTATCCGTCTCACCGGACGCATCCAAGTTTCAAGCGTCAATTTCGAGAAGTTCGTTTATATATTCGATTTTCCGCAGTTACACATGCATGCAATGGTATTGCCAATTAATCGTTCCGAATCCGATTTCGGTTTCGTTCCAAAGAGTCATGCGAAGACATCGTTCTCGTTTTTCAATTAGTGTTTTGCGAATCGGACGTTTCGTAATTATCGATTTTTTTTTATTCGTTCGTTTTATAAATTTCAGGTTTCCAATTACGATCGTCCAATATCCAAGTATCGTTTTTTCGCAGTAGTAGAGTCGGAAAGAAGCAAGGGCGCAGGCAACACGAAGAGCAAGCGGCAAACAAGGATTTGTGTGCGCGTGCGCAACCCATGGTCAGAGCGAAGGTAACATACAAAGAAGAGAGAACAGTGCCATCGTTAGACGCACATCAATTCACACCTTGTTTTCTAAATACTAATGTGCACATACCGAAGAGTGATGTAAGTCAAATATATTTAGATATCGTTGAAATTTCGTTAGATCTTTACGATTCTTTGTGGCTTGCTCATTAAGACTCGAGAGTATATATTCTCAGTGAGATACATATCCCTTAAGTACATGCACAACAAATATTATAGAAGTTCTAAATGTGCGAATGTGTGTATGTGCGTGCGTATATGGGAAACTGCTTTATAAATTTACGAAAAGATATAGGTCAGGGGACTGACCTGCTTTTGCAAGTATTGCTAAAGCAGGTTAATTAACCTGCCAATTTGATTTAGCGCGTTCGATGACAGGACACTTCAAAATTAGAAGTGTCCCATGCAAAATGAACACGCGGTAGTTAACGCTTTGTAGACGCCGCACGTATATAGAATCGTTATTCGAAATTTTAACGGTTATTACTAGAAATTCCGAAATATATCACCGATTTTTCTTCCATTATACGCATTCTAGTTTTCATCACATGTATTCGACAAATTTGCCGAGTTACATGTAAAACTTAAAAAATTCGTATATAATCAGGTGCATTAACATTGTCGGCGTGTTTGTGTTTAGCAACTAAACATGTTTATAATTGAAGAAAATATGTGATAGAAAAAATATATAGTTTATAGAAAAAATAAAATATATAATTAAAAAATTATAATGATCTGCTTTATCATGATATACTATGCTTGATTATGATCATGAAATGTGTACATAATCTTTCTGATTATATAGCAGTTTAGCCTCTTCCTTTTTTTACATGAAAAATAGATCTCTGCAAACGCGGGTGCATGGAACAGCATTAATGCACCCAATTTTTTTTTGCGATAGAAACCGTTCTCTAGACATACTGACCTGTTCTGGTACGAATAATACTTTGCATCCCTGGGTATCGTACACAACTGCTTGCCATAACAACAGAGCACCTGCGGGTTGAACGTATATTTCCGACCGCAACAGTATCCGAGGGCCTGCATGACAGGATCTATTTCTTGCTCGAACACTTCCGAGAGCTGCGTTTAAATGATAATGTGTGAATTACAATACGTGTGTCAGTGAGTAAATTACGAAAGGAAAAATTAATATTCGTTTGATGCGCCTTACTCATAGAAAGTAAACGCAATGGGCGTTACCTTGGTGCAATATCTGTAGACACGAGATGTTTTACGATTGTAAAGCCAAGCATTGTCAAACATCATCCAGACGTCATCCACGTACTCCCACGGATCGCTGTATTTCTCCGTGTCCAATTTCTTCTTGATGGTCGATAGATCCATGGGCTTCTTCACAATAGTGGGATAATCCGGTATACCTAGAGCTTGGGGATCTACTGGTTGTCGGAACGGTATGGACTCCGGATCTTGCCGATATAGCTTCTCGAGTGTTGGCATTAGCGCTTGACGTAACTCGTCGGGTTTGAACAAACACTTTTTCTTGTCGGTCGACGTCCCGCTAGGCTGTATCGGTTCCGGCACCATTGGTTTGATGTCAGTAGCACTCGTATCCTGAGCGGACATAGGAGTCATGCTCTCCTCTTTTATACTGGCAGGCTCTTCTTTCACTGTCGTTTCATTCGAGTCTTCCTCCATCGGCTCGGTCTTCGGCTCAGTCTTGATGGTGATCTCATTTTTCACGCTCTTACCGCAATCCATCCGATGATTTTCGGCACCGTCCTCCTGCTTGATCTCCATTTTTATCTCCATTTTGATGTCTTTCTCTTCTTTAATGGTATCTAGCTTGCCTTTGTTGTTATTCATCGGTGGACTAGGCGAATTATCGCGATCCAAGGCCGCCGTGATGGCAGCCATCTGCGAAGACATGGATGTGCTTCTCGGTGCGTTTAGCGCCGCTCTCTCTTGCGAGGTCATACCTTTGCCTAAACTCGCGAGACCCGCAGGCGATGGTGTCGTGCCTGGATGAGGCGGAGTTTGGTTAGCGGAAGAGACTGTCTGATTGGGAGTCATAAGTGACGGGACTAACGGTGTGTTCGGTGTGGAAGTGGTGGACTGAGGTCCATTGGTAGTCGTCGTCGCAGGTCCCGGACTTGGTCCGCTAGACGCAGGAGGAGGTATTGTCTGCGGCGTCGATGTAGTGATGGCACTGTCATTGGGTGTAGAAGCTGACAATGGCCGGCTGTTGGCGAACTGTTGACTTTGTGGTTGCTGCGGTGTGCTCTGTTGTGGTTGCTGCTGTTGCATACTACTGAATGGCGATGGAGTTTGTGGTATCGACGTCGCCGGTGTGCTCTGACTCGAAGTACTCGTCGGCTGTTGCTGAACCGCTTGTTGCTGCTGCTGCTGTTGTTGCTGCTGTTGTTGTTGTTGTTGTTGTTGCTGTTGCGCAGCTTGAGCTTGAGCCAATCTAACTTTCATAAGGTCAGGAAACTGATGCTGATTCTGAATGGGAGAACTATTGGGTAAACCGGAAGTGCCATTGGACGTTGGAAATTGACTAGTTGTCGCGGACGCGGCAGTGGTGGTTGTTAAGTTAGTCTGTGACATCTGAGGCTGTCCGAAGGGACTGAGCCCAGGATTGGGCACCATGTTGGCGTTGGACGTCGATTGTCCATTTGGACTAGGACCTGGAGGACCAACCAAGATTCCTTGCTGCTGCGGTTGTTGCTGTTGTATCTGTTGTTGGGCTTGAACTTGTTGTTGCGGCTGTTGAGGCTGCTGTTGCTGCTGCTGTGCCTGTTGTTGTTGCGGGAATTGCATCCGATTGTGTTGGATCGCCATTCCAGGTAATGCCGCCAGTTGACCCATGCCTGGTGAATGACTTCGCACGGTCGGTGGTACCGTGCCGACTGGTTTCGCAGGTAGAACAGTCCCTACACTAGGAGGAGCGCACGGCCTTAAGCCAGGACCAGATGTACCCGCGGGTGGCGGTTGCTGCTGCTGCTGTTGCTGTTGCGCTTGCAATTGTTGCTGCTGCTGTTGCTGTTGCTCCTTCCGTTTCTGTCGTTTTTCCTCTATTTGGTACAAAAAAATGCGTCGTTTTTCCTCTGTTTTGTACAACAAAATGCGTCGCAAAAAAGTGCGTCGCAAAAAAACGGCACATAAAAATTGTATTTTTAATCATTAAAAATCATAAAATCATTTAAATTATCCTCCAGTTTTTTGTCACTTACCAAGTTCCTTCTGGATCTTGTAAATCTTTTCAGCTAGCAGATGATAGTATTCCGATCTCGAGTTAGCCATTTCATACATATCACCTTCGACTTTTCTTGCATATGCAACTAAATTGTGCATTCGTTTATCAAGCATTGCTTGGGGGTCAGGAGTTGGGAATATTGCTTGGACCCTGCAAAGGTAAAAATGATGTTGCAAACTGGGAGTTCCCAATATGCACGGTCACGTATGTAGATTGCATTTTACCGATAGTTTATACCATCTTGGCATGCAAGTTGAAGTAATAAAGTAATGAACTAAAAAAAATATATATATACTAACAATTTATGTACGAGATGATTCCTGAGGTCTGGTGTGACCGACTGATGCCACTCTTTCGTTCCTTGCACTGGTGTCGCTGTTACTTGACCCGGCTGAAGACCGCCCGGCAATTGCAGATTGGCCAATCTGTTTTCACCTATCACACCGGGTTGCCCAGATTCATTCAGGCCTGCGAACAGCTGTTGCATATTGACAGACTGTTGTATATTAGCAGCAGCGGCCGCAGCAGCGGACGTGGGTCCAGTCGACGGCGCTGTTTGATTGCCAGCAACCCCAACTGTACTAGGATCAGAATTTAACGGAAGAGATACGTTTGGAGCAACTACTTGTTGTCCAGTACCAACTACGGACTGTCCTGGTGTAGCTGAAATAATGAATACAAACATTCATCGTGTTATTTTTCATCCACTTATCTATGTAAATAATCATGCCTTGATACGAATGAAATGAAAGTAGTCGATACACTCTACAGGAAGCATTGCAAGACTCACTCTGTGTTTGAGGTTGCGTTAATCTAACATTACTCAATGCCCCTGGTGGCCCTGCCATGCTAGGCGTCGGCATTCTAACGCCTCTGCCAACACCTTGAGGCAGTAGTCCCGGTGTTGTTGTCGGACACTGAATCCCTAGAGCATCGTAAGCTCTTCTCATCTCCGACGGGCTTGGATTTTGTTGATTACTTTGTTGAGCTCCTGGGGCTAATTAAAAAGAATATATAAGAATATATAATATATGTAAGAATAAGAATATATAATATATATAAGAATAAGAATATATAATATATATAAGAATAAGAATATATAATATATAAACTGTAATATAACTGTATAAATTTGCCGAGGAACATTGTACCTCTTTATTTTATCATTCTATTATTCTTATATCATAAAATTATTCTAAATTACCAGCCGCGGGATTAGTCCTGTTCTTATTCGCCTGCTTGATTGGTAAACAAACTGGACAATCGGTTCGTGTGCAATGTCTCCAATGACTTATAATCTGCCTGGACATGCTACAATGTGGCACTGTGCAACTTTTACCAGATTGGCAATTGGTCATGTGATTCAAGACGTTCTTCATCGTTTTGCAGTCCGGCAAGGTGCACTGCCTTATTTCGCCATTTGCTTGGCTTTCGCGCCGTTGACATTTATGCGCGTGCAAGAGGAGTACCAACTGCTGTTGTATGAGTCTACATTTCTCCGGATCCGGAGTCGATTTTGCAGTGCCTACGATAGTCGTGAAACTCTCTTTAAAAAACGAGCAAGAGAGAGCGCAGCAAGGGATTGTGAGACTACCCAACAAAAGTTGAGACTGACCAGGGGTAGCAGAACCAGCAGTGGCAGCCATTTGTCCCTGAGTGGCTTGCTGCGGACCTGGTTGTCCTCCGCTCGGCGCTCCCGATTGGGGCTGAGCTGGACTCGGCGCAGGCGGCTGTGCCTGCTGTGCCATGCCGCTTTCCTGACCACCAACGATATTGGTGGTACCAATGGGACCGGTAGTTCCGGTGAATCTACCGGCAGCTTGCATAGCAGTCATATTTGTGCCCACACCTTTCTGCTGCGGTTTGACAACACCTACGGGATTATTGGCGCATACAGTTACTCCTGGTCCTGGTCCGTTATTTGGCGAACCTGTATCGTGAATTGTTTTTTCATCGTCTTAAGCACTATCTATTCATTATCATAAGATATATATTTTCATACGTACCGTATCCATATGGACTGGACGCGCCTATTTGCCCCATGTTGGGCATATTTGCCATGTTAGGTGGAGCTTGCATTCTAGGACCTTGACCAGGACCAACTATGCCAACTTGATGTACCTGTTGGTGAGGACTCTGCCCTCTCGCCGACCCGACCATATGAGCCGCCGCCGCCGCCGCTTGTTGTTGCTGTTGCATCGCTACAGCCCGCGTGTTCAACATCCCAGGACCATTTTGCATCTGTGTGACCCCGTGAGGTCCGCTAGGATGATGTATCGCTTGAGTATTAGGTCCCATCATAGTTACCTTGAAAATAACACTCAGTTAGATTTATGGGCTTTCACATATCGTTACTCTGCACTCATATCAAATTAACATACTGTATTCTGAGGTGTTTTGTTCAAACTGTTGGTTACTATTAAGCCTCCCCCGGCCATTCCTCCCATGTTGTTGTTACCACTAGCTGTACTAGTCATTACTAAGCCAGAATTCATACCACCCGGCATAGACATCACAGGGTTACTACCGGCCATACTCATGGACGACTGCAGACCACCCATCGAATTCGCGATAGACATTTGATTGTTAGCCAACGAACTGGCTATGCTGCTCGGTAAATTCCCAAGACTCACGACCATCTGCGGGTCGACTACGCCTTTAGAGACAGAAACGTTTGGCGGCGATTGCATGTTCGGACTTTTGCTGCCCAAAGGTCCAGCAGTCATTACTAACGAATTCGCCACCAAGTTTTTGTTGCCCTGTTCAATGGTCACATGTAAAGTATCATGAAGATGGATTGAACAATTGGTCTGAACCAAACATACTTGTTGCTGGATAATATGATGTGAGAGTTGCTGCTGCTGCTGCTGTTGCTGTACATGTTGCCTAAGTTCTGAGTCGAGAGCACCGTTTTGTTGCCCCGGACCGGGGCCAGTCGCCGGTGGCTTAGTACTCTCGGGTGCAGATCCCCAAGGTGGCGGCGCCAGCAGGTCATCAGGAAGATCATTTTCAATATCAAACATATCTGTGTTTGTCATGTAATCTGAGAATAAATAGAGCCAAAGTAAAAATTATATTTCCACATATGTACATATGACAATAATAAATAATTTTCACTGGCTATCAAAAAAGTATAACCACAAATATATTTATACGAACACATACACACGCATCACGTAGTGTGTCTCTGTGTGTGTGTGTGCGCGCGCGCGCACGCGTGTGCGTGTGTGTACGTATCTGTATGTGCGCGTGTATATGCGCGTGGATTTATATTTTCTCCTACTTCTTACAGTTTATTTCTAATCAATAGCTGTTAATACATCATCGTCATCCAACATATCTTGTGCACTGCTTAGACTAGATCTGCCATATATACTTGGAATATATTACTTTTAGAGATAACCAGTTTGTAGATTTAAATAATATGGCATTAGATATATGTGTACCATAGATACCAAGAAATAATTAGTAATTTTATAGGGTTAAGACTCTGTACCGTCACCAATATAGCTTTCATTTAGAGTATCGATATTTTAATACAAATGTTTGCTATTATATATGCGTGAAGTATCATGTCCCTATACACATGTATATATGCGCGCAATTGCATGTGAACATGTACACATGCATAAATACATGCATGTATATAGAGACACATATAGGCAGAGAAGCGTTTATTATTTTATCTATATTACAAGGAACTTCTAATGCTATAATATCTTTTTAAAATGTAGTAAAAAATGTAATCAATAATTAATGATAGTTAAAAATTGAATCTTATTCATCTATTTACTCACGACTGACCATACATTGACGGAGAAAAAAAGGGTGTACATACATATATATATATTTTTTTTAAATATATTTAGAAAAATACATACGCAGAGATTCTAAAAAAAAGGGAAAAAACTACACGTGGATGTAAACAAACATGAAAAATAAGACATGAGACATACACTGCATGAGCATAACGTAAAGGAGCTTATTCTACAGCGGAATGAAAATCTTCGGCACATTAAATTCGTGCTAAACTACACAAGCAGCGAAGCCACTGATGGCAAACTTTTATAGAAGAGAGTCATGCGAAGAAATAAGTCACTCTAGAAAATATCTGTTCAGGCAAAATAATGCTTCTGACGCATCGTTCGAGGACGAAGTACCACGTTTTGTACTTCATCCTAAAAGAAAAGAAAATTCTCGAGATTCTCTCGCACATAAATGACACGTCTGTGCGCACACACAGTTCTGCATTCTATTTACGTTCAGTTATAAATAACTGTAAAAATTTTCATTGATATAAACATCGAGAGCCCTACCTAACACGGCTATTTATTACCTGCACCGCATCGTCAACCTTTTTTTTTTACACGACGAGCATATAACGTATGCATTTTTAATTTTCACCTTTGCATACGTCTGCAAGCCTGCGAGAGCTCTGCGCGTGTGTGTCGCATGTCTATGTTATGTTTGATTTATGTGAATGTCTCACGGTGTTCATTAGAAAAGAGGGGGACCGCTGTTTATCTGAGTCTCTTATGTACCTTCAGCAATACAGATCCAATTTTTCTCCATTGCTATGTAAAGCGAATCAGTCCGTGTCTCAAAGTAAGATAACACAATGTATCTGCATTTGCCGCTCTACGTTCTGCCGTACTTTCAAAGATAAATTATCGTGACCAATCCAATGTTTTGTTTCTTTTTTTCTTTCTTCCCTAAACGTCAACGATAGACTAAAGTTACCGGAACCATAGTGACAATATGTCAAAACTCTATAGGCATCTCTCTCAGAAAGTACTGCAACTGGAAAACGTATTGATTTGCTTCACTGAAAGCCATAGGCTGGAACAAGTGAGTTTACGAAAGAAGAGATGTATGGCACTATGAGATGATCGGACGGACAAACGGATTTTACAGTGCTGAACTTAATTTCTCTCGATAATTTTGAATAGTTGATTTTGTATAGTGATATTTACTTCTTTTTTGGACGGTATGGTTGTTCCATTGTTGTTGCAGCTGATGCTGTTGCAGATGTAGCTGCTGCGATGGACCCTGTATTTGTTGCATGTTACCACTTCCACCTCCCCCGTAGTTCGTATAAGCATGGTGCATCATTAAAGGCGCCATACCCACTACGTATATCACAATTATATTGTTTTATTTAAAGATGGAAGAGAACGACCTAGGCTTTTTCTTTTTTTTTAATTTGTGGCGTCCAAGTGGCAGAAAGTTAAAGTCGCAGTTTTCGATAATTGTCAATGAGTAATTTTACTTTTCTATGATAGCCTCATGCGGCTGTTTGATGGTCAAAAGAGAGACAAACGAACTGTCATGTACAACTCAACTTCTGCAACTTGGTGATAAGCAATTTTGGGACTTTACATATTATTATCCGAGTAGAACGTAATTATTGTCGATATAATGTAGCGTTATTACAATGTGCATTATTCTCAAGTTTTGGAAGTTTCGATTTGTTAAGAGATGATTAAGATGTGTATACGTGTATGTGTGTGTTGAAAGGAAAAATAGTAAAGAGATCAAAATTAGCGCGTTGTTCATGCCAGCAAAATGTAATCTCTGATATTAAAAGTGTCATGCATCCATCATGCACTACAGGGCCACAGCTATATACCTAGATCTAAGTCTGGAAGAAAATGTACAATGAAATGTATATATCGAGTCGTGTGTGTGCCATTCGATCTGAGCCAGTAGAGAAATCGGTACGTGCAGTAAGACGAATAGGTAGTCGTGTATTTACTCTCAACAACACACACTTCCACTCACATCGTACATCCGCAAGATTTCCGCGCAAAATTCGAAATTGCGTACTTTTCGGTGCGACCAGATCTCGACGCAATAAAAATATAAGCAAGAACGGTCAATCTCCAAAAGTCTCGCGCATCACACGACACGCACGAGACTCATTCACTCTCTGCATTACGGAACTGTCGACGGATCATTCTCGCGTCTATGTAGGATCACAGGGATAAGAGGTACGCGAAAGCATCGTCGAATTTTCTCGACTTGAAGCTTTTCTCGGTTTGGAACATCGTCCAATTCGCGCGTCAGGAAAGAAAATTACAAACGTGCCGAATACGTTCGCGCGTGCAGCGCGAGTCGCGTCATGCGTGATTGTCGCGTGTCGTATCATAATTTCGCTCGGAGGTTGCGACGCGCGCCCCCGAGACGCGTCAAAGAGAGAGATCGGCGGGCGGGCTGGATGGCTGGCTGGCTGGCTGGTTAACAGCAGCGATTCGTGGCGCGATGGCGCGCGGCGTTCGCGCACAGCCGTGTACCGCCACAACACACCGGCCACAGCCGACCGGGCGGAAGAAGACGGTCCGTCGTCCCGTCAAACGAGAAACAACGCGAGAAGTGAAACGCGCCGTCCGCGCGAATGATCCTTCTTTCACAGAAAATGAGCCTTCGTGCACGATGTGTACGCGAGAGAAACGCGTCGTCGGATGATACACGCGCGCCTCCCGCGACATAGGATCTTTGTAAGGTTAGTCGCGGGACTGATGAGGAGGAGCGCAGGACGCGGAGATACGAGAACGTGGGATACGAGAGGAAGAGAAAGAGATTGATAGATAGATAGACTGGACGGTAATAAAACAAGAAAAAAATAAAGAAACAAAAATGCTGCGAAACGAGAAAGAGAGATAAAAAAATATAGGGAGGAGGCTCTTCAGATGCGACTCACCTGCTGAATCCGAGGGGCCCTGAAAGGGATCCCCGAGTTTCGGCCGTTTGTTCGGCGGGCCGTCGACCAGGTGGTCGGCCATGGCTGCTCCTCGATGGCGGCTGTTATCTTCCCTCCGTATAACCTCTCACGACGCTCCGTTGCCGATCACGAGCAGCGGAGCGGTGGCAGCGTATAGCCGATCGTGCACAACGTACGCGCGTAACACGGCACGTCGTAGTAGCGGCGCCGTGCAGCAGCGAAGAGCTCGCTGGTCGCGCACCTCTTCTCCTTCGCTCGCTCGTTCGCTCGCTCGCTCGCGTTCTCGAACTCTCGATCGCTGCGCGCCACTAGAACGCCGCTTCCGCCGTCACCGTCGTCGGCAGCTCCGCCGCTGCCGCTGTCGCCGTTGCTGCTGGTGGTGGTGCTGCGGCTGCTGCTGCCGCCTCTGGCCTATCGACGGCGAGGCCTCGTAACAAGTTCACCGTGCCGCAATCGTACTCGCGAGCATGACAATAACAATGACAACCGCGGCGCGTGGAGCGTCCCCGTGGAACACGGTTTGACGCACGTTCAACCATTGGGCATCGTCGTCATCGAGGTACGTCAAATCCTAGGGCGCGAAAGCCCACAGCACACTGGCACCACGCACGGACGTAGCCACACACACACGCGCGCGCACACACACACACACACACGGAGGGCACACACCGCGGCGAATGATCTCTGGCTCTCCTAGTAGATGTCCGGTGAACGACGACAGGACGACTGCCGCGGCGCGTAGCGTCGCGTCGCGTCGTCGAACACTCGGATCACTAGTGCCCTTACGCTACGTGACGGGAACAACAAAGACTAGCGGGACCACGACGTCGTCGGATCGCACAAGGAACGAGCCGATCCGCTGCTGGTCTCTGTCGCGAGACGGTGAGCGCGCGACGCTCTGACACGACTCTCGGCTCGACTCGATAGCACTCGACTGGATTCGATTCGCGCTCTCCCGCTCTCTCGCGCTCTCTCGCGCTCTCCTCTCTCGCGGAGAACGAGCGGCGCACACACGTTTATGCGCTCGTTCGGCGGTAAACGCACTCTCGTCCCACAGTACGACTCGTCAAACGCTCGACACCGCGGCGTACTGGCTGCGCGCACGGCGCTAGCTCGCAGCGACGATATCGCAGCCGAGGCCCGCTGGCACCATCTTCTACCTCTCCTCTTCTCTCTCGGCTCGGCACACTGCGACACACGGGGCGCGCGAACGACCAGCGCGGCCGTGGGCCGCTTTCCCCGCACGCTCGCACGTTATTTACGGGCGCGAGCACGCGAACACGATCGCACGTATCGGCACAGGTGCGGCCACCGCGCCCGCCACAGAAATTCGCACGGGAAAAGCGATCGCGAAGTGTTCCGCACCGCACAAGTATCGGCTAACGTAAAATGGCGGCGGCTGTTGACGAGAAGTTTTTCTACGCTTGTCAGAAAATGCCCGACTGACTCGGAGACGGTGGCTGTGACCGTAGATCGCGTCGCCCATTGGCCGAGCCGGTCATGTGACCCGTGCACGCCTCGCGATTGGCTCAGTTACCGCCAAGACGCCAGCGCCGCGGCTGCATTCACGTCGCTAAGACACGGACGTCGTGGCTACACTCACGCCGCCGGTCGGCTGTCTCTGGCTATCTCTTGAGAACGGCCGATCTCCGTAGCGTCGTTCCAACATGGTCGATTGGCGAGTCGCGCGATCGACTCCCGGGCCTTCTGCGACATTGCATCTCCGCCTTGATAGATGGTCGATTGATTGTCGGGAGGTTTGTGTCTTGCGCTCGGGTTTCCAGGTCTAAGTAACCGGACGATTCGTTGCGTTCATCTCGCAATCTTCGACGAGTACGGGACACGTGCCGTGGTAGCGAGTCGCACAATAATACCGAATCATAGCTTTTCGAGACCACTTGATTCTTTGATTTCTTATATTTTTGCGGTTTTGCGTACCTCTCACCAAAGAATATGATGTTTTCGCGCGTATGTTGCGTGTGCTTATGACCGACCGTAGGTGCGCACATATCTCCGAGAGATCAAAGTTTTGTACAAAAGCTACATTGTCGTGTAAATTATCGCGTCATGTCACATTCGTATTTAATATTAACATGTATTATTAACCCGCTTACAGAGAGAGAGGCTCACGCCTGCTGCATTTAAAGGTAATCCTTAAGGTTATGTTACATGGAAACTCAAAATTTAGGTTAGGTTCGCTAGTCCCCTGAAAGCCTCAAGTTTCCAGTGACATAATTTTCTAATCTTCTTTATGAGTTGCAAGGAAAGTATAAAATTTTTTTTATTATATGGTATATATTATAATTATACACACACAAAATGAAGCAAGCATTCTTGAATCCTGGCATTCTCGGTGCAGGATATTCCCTTGATTACGAGCAATTCTCGTACATCGTGATTACAGCAATGAATTTGTATTTGCGCGCATACATATTCGCCGCTGCAAGAAATCAAACAACATAGGAGAGAGAGGAGCAACTTTATATAATAATACATCTTCATAAATCTCCCCTGAAAGACTTTCTGAAAAATTCATACATTGATTTAGAAAAGGGCCCTACATACACACGGCCTATCATGCTACAGTGCTTCGCGTAGATTACGGAGAGTCTCGCGAGCATTTGTAGCCAAAGAGACGAAGAAAGCGGAAAAGGATATACAGAGACGGAAGCGGATCTCGCGTTTGCGCGGCGGCGGCGGCACGCACCATGTCGCCTTTCTTTTTGTCTCTAGTCACTTTCGCCGCCACACATCGCGTCGTTCTCGCCAAGCTTCCTCCGCGCGCGAGATAGCCTCCATTGGGGGAATTCGACGTGGTCGTGCAAGAGAGAGAAAGAGAGCTCCAGCTAGCTCGCTCGTCCTTCTCATCGGCCACGACAGGGTAAGTATTCAGGAGATGCATCAAGGGGGATGATGAGACCGAGCTGATCTCTCGATCAGCAGGTCGTGAAGAGCAGCAGCCAACGGCTGCTCTCTTGCACAGAGAGAGAGGGCACATCGTGTGTAACGTTTATAGGAGCCGCATCTCCGAGCAATAAGTGCGAACGGCACGCGACTCGACGCACGCATCGCACCGCGTGAACTTGTCGGTGTCTCCCTCTTGCATCTTGGCACCGTCTTTGTCGTGTGGCGCGTCCGACGAGGAGAGCGGAAAAGAAACGGGTGAACGCGCTCTCCGGCGGAGGAGCGACGAGTAGATGCTCTCGCAGGAAGGTGAGGCAGGGGGTGGGGGTCGACGGCAGAGAGGGACTTTGGAAATGGGACGGGAATCGGATAACGGCGTGGCAGCAGCCGCCTAGCTATCCGCCTCGGTGACAGCGGCTCTTTGTATACTTTGTAGAGAACGCGCTGCTTTGCGCTGCGCCGCGCATACCATGTCGCGTCGAGCTTGATTTTACTTGCTTGCTTGCTGACTCGCTCGCTCGCTCGCCCGTTCGTTGGCGGTGATTCGCGACGGCTTCCCGACATCCCTCGTTCATTCGCTCTCTGTCTTCCTCTCTTTCCCTTCCCCTCCGTCTCTCTCCCGCATCGTCTCCAGCGGGGAAAAAATCAGCGGAGACGCATGGCTCTCGCGATCCCGTTTCTCGCGGCGGCGGTATCGCCGTTGGTGATACCGACGCAAGAAATCTCGCGAAGACGCGAGGCCAGGGAGCAACGCGTCACGTCGTTTCGCCGACGATCGAGGGCGATTCTCGCGGTGGATCAACCTAGCTAAACGAAGAATCACGCGAGGGATGAGATGCGAGTTGCGCGTGGTGATAGCAGCAGCTAAGATGGGGAAAGTAATCGCGCGCGCAAGGCAAAATCCGATGACTATGTTACGTAACTTCGCGTCCATCTCGCTCGAGAAACGTCTTCAAGCAGCGAGCCCGAGCTATGTCGCGACATAGGAAAGGCGTTCTCGCGTTTGCCTCTTCGCGTCGCACGAATTCAGGGAGAAAACGTGATCGATCGTAACCGCGGCCGGTCGGTCGGTCGGTTGGACGAGCAGACAGACGGTCGATTGGTCGGTCGGTCGGTCGGTCGTTTGCTCGCTCGCTCGCGCCTCGCGACTACGATTTATGTCTAGTCTCGCGTGCACGACCGCGCGCGCGGTGCATCGACCCATCTCTTTCGATTCGCCGCGATATTACACGCTCGCGTGTATATACATATATACGGAGAGCACGTCGTAAAGCCACGCACACACACACATATATATATATATATATATATATATACGTGCGGCGGCACGCGAATCGCGTCCACGCCTGCGTTTCGATCATCACGCGAGAAGGAACGGCCGCTATTTTCACGCGGGCTTCGCTGATATCGCGCCGCCGTCGCTGCCGCTGCTGTATGTGCGATAAGCGGCGTAAAGTTTTCGTAATCTCGCCCGCGCTCTGATACTCGCTCGCTCCTCCTCGATTCCGCAAATCGAGCGCAGCAGGAAGGAATCGCTCTTTCTTATTATTTTTGTTCTCTTATCATACGAGTTCGGCCTGAACGTTATGATTTTTCTCCAGCCGAGACAAAAAGAGCTATCGCTCTCGCGCTCGTACACGCAGAGAGAGAGAGAGAGAGAGAGAGAGAGAGAGAGAGAGAGAGAGAGAGAGAGAGAGAGAGAGAGAGAGAGAGAGAGAGAGAGAGAGAGAGAGAGAGAGAGAGAGAGAGAGAGAGCAAGAGAGAGAAAGAGAAGCATACGCACGGCGTCGCTCCGCTAATCGACTGATCGCATAACGCGGTAATTATAACGGCTCGCGGAAACAAGGTCGTCTATCGCATTCCGATAATAGTCGTAGCCTCGCGATGAGAGTGGGAATTCGTGGCGATTACGCGTAGTTTTTCGGCGCGGCACGCGCATTCATGCAGGCGATGATACATCACGGCGATTCGCATTATGTAACCTCGTGTATGCGAGAGCACCAATCTCGCTCATCTCTCCCGGATAAGACGGGCCGGAGGATTAATTTAGGATTCAATTGTCGCGTCGAAATCGTCCAGCGGAACCTTAACGCGCGCGCGCGCGGTTCCTCGTTACATAAGTTATTGGAAAGACACATTTTGAAACACCGCGGAGCGACCTCGACGCGAGGCGTCGAATGGCCCAACAATAACGTCGCCAAGAGATAAAAGGCGATTTTCCCACCGATCGCGCGGCCAACCTCAGACTCGCATCAGCCACTCGATCGTTCAGCTTCGAATGTAGACGTGATCCCTGCATATTCGTGGAATGCGCGCGATGTCCAGTGGGACACGTTCGACTAATTAAAAATTCAAGGATCTTGGCACATCGTGACACAGTCTAGACTAGGATTCGATTTTTCGATCAAGTTACGGTGTATTTTCAGACGCAAATGTTTTATCCAATTATTTTGTTAACGAGAATATAAGATCCGCGGGCGAACGGAGATCGCGGATTGTGTTTCGCAGACACAGAATTCGGCGCCACCCTACACAACAATCGCGCTGGTACGGTCGGCTGATTAAGTGCAGCGACACTTTTTCGACGAGTTTTGCAATGTTATTCCATGTTCAATCGAAAAACATATCTTCTGAGAATTGCTAAAAGAATAAACAAATTCTTTTATCGGACACGGGGTACGTTGCGAAACTCATCGAAAAGGGTGTCGCAACAACCCTTAATCAACCGTCATTGTACTCTCTAAATTTTCATGGATCTCACGGAAAACTAGTGAAAAGTGGCAGTATCTTCACCCAGAGCGACAAATCCTGCCACTGTGATCGCAAGAGCAAATGTTTCATTCAAGATTAGAGTGGATTATGATTCTACATGAATGAATGTTTCGACCGATTTGAGCGAGTATATCATTGTCAAAGTGAGAGTATTATTCCTGTAATAGGATGGAGAAATACAGATTCACTCTTCGAATAAATATGTTCACTCCATGATTCATGCTAGAGGATTCACTTTCTACGAATGAAAAATATGAATTCAACTGACACAAGTCTTTACTCATCTTTCCGTGTGAATTTCACTCCAAGAAATTTAGAGAGTAGTATATCCCTGCCCGGACATATTACCCCATATACACAATCAATCAGGTAAGTATGTCACTCGCAGTCGCATAATCGGGACAGCAATGAACGAAATTCCATGTCGCCGTTCACCCGTTCCAGCATCCGTCGTATCACAGAGTACTGGTGGTAATAACAGTTACAAAATGCAGTTCTCAAAACAGAGGACCTTCGCTTGTGTGCCCCTTTAACAGCCAACGGTCCGATTAAAGCGCCTGGCCGATAAGCGAGATGGATCGATGATAGATCCTTCACTACAGTTCGACGATGCCGCGCGCGGAAAGGGATCGAGAATCAATATTTATTTAACGATAAGCACACACGACGATTACGCGGCCGTGTAATTCGCGGTGTACATGCTACGCTGTTAGGCGGTTTAGAGAAGCAAGGTCGATTCTCGGATCGGCTTGAGCGCGTCGCGCGTTCCAAAAAGACCATCAGCCAGGCGAGATAAACGTCCAGCCAGCTCGTACCCGTAAATCAAAGACGCCCCCGGCCCCGCTCTTCTCACGTCCGTCTGGAGAATACTCAGGAGAGGCCGCGCGGCCTCATCCCGCCTTGAAATATCGGAAAACGCAACGCGAGAACGATCTCGATCCATGTAGAGGCTCGCAATTCTCTTCTGGTAATCAACGAAATGAAATTTCGTTCATTGGCCGATCTACTCTTTTCTCTCGCCTTTTTCCATTTTTTCTCTTAACAAACTCCGCTTTGTAAATAATTAAGACAAACGTTCGGAAGCGTGCTTTTGTCGAAGAGTAAAATCTAGGCGTATCTACATGTCACTCGAAGATTGGAAGCAAGTTGCGCAAACCAATTGAAAAAAACGCGCAAAGCATTGCACCAGCTTTCACTCGTCAAACATCTGTCAACTGTCACTTTACTTCGAACAAGATCTTGGAATTGTCGTACTCGCGAAATAAATTTCTAGACTTCTCGTGCGCTTTTATCAGTCGGTACAGTTTGATTTTCTGGTGAGACAATCGAGCAAAGTATGTGGAAGTCATTCACACCACACAGATAGAAGTCTTTCTGAATTAATTAATCAAGAATGTAATCTTTCTGCATAAGTTGTTAATTAAAACTGAACACACACTCTTATCATTCGATTGATACAAATAATAATAAAACTTTATTTGCCATAATTAATACTATCTAACCATGATAAATTATGTACACGTATCCGTTGATTAACAGGATGTGTGTATGTGTGTGTGTGGTATACAATAAATAATTTTTTGCCTTTTGTTCATGCCAACAAAGTGTAAAATATAAATTCAATTTACATTGACGAAATTTCACATTGCGCAAGAAATGCGTGCAAACTCTTTTTTTATCTCTCACTCTTTTTGTTATGTATGTTTATGGAAACATGTATATATATATGTATATATATAACATAAACTCTAATTTCTTTTATTCATAAACTTATATTCTTAAAGATATATAACTATTTACCAAACCCACGTTCTATTTTATCGATGAACAAAACCGCGTAATAGCACTCACAATGCTGCAAGTATTAATGTTCAATAAATCAATGCTCTGAGAAATGTAGAAAGATGCGCGGCGCTGGATACGCTTAAGTATACAAATACTTGCGTATTCTCAATATACTCCATCGTATTCCTTATTACAATTTTTCTAACAAAATTTTATATAATATTAAAATCTACACAACAAAGATTTCATGCTTATTACTTTCATATACATAAAACAAACTGTTAAATACATACACGTTATACCCATTTCCCCTGACATTGGTTAGATATAGCGATTAAAACTTTTGCACGAAATGTACAATTTGGATCTTCTGAGACGGCCCTTTGCATTAACTCGATGTAAGTGAGGGATTGCAATATCTCGTGTCGCACATCGCTTACGATAATTATATCATACTCTAGTACTGGTGAGATTGTATTAAAAATATAACATAAATATGTAACTATATGCCGTACGTTTAATCGGACGATAAATGTTTTATTTCGAACTATGTGTGTGTCTGCATAATCCTCTTCGCCACATGTTAATTTCAGTACTGCGTGTAATTGTTATCCTTTTAATCACAAAATGACGGAATTACGTGAACGGGACAAGATACTCCTTAAAACTAAATCCCCAAATGCATGTCAAGAACTTAGCCGTACCTGCTGAACATACGTGTAGGCACCACGGCATAGCACACCCCACCCGTGTGTGCACCAGGATCTACAGCAATTAATTCAACAAGAAGCATCTACAATGAAATATACTACATTGTTATTTGCCACTGATTCAGCTTAGCATTCTGTAGAAAATCTTTTGTACACATGTAAAAACATATATATTAAAAGACGTGAGTGTCCACTCGACTGGAAGTCGGACGCTCAAATAAAGTCCTTTTACGTGTAATCATCCAGCTTCGAATGCTCTTTATGTACTTCGAACTTCATTAAAAGCCAGTATTTCGCCTCTTATTTGATCATCGTTATGAAGTAATAAAATAGTCGGCCGAACGCGTCCAGAAATATATTCATGAGCGACAATTTCAAAAATTTCCGTAACAACAGTATGTGCGTGGTGTGCTTTCGAAACGGTTGCGCCTCCGATGTACGATCACGTGGTCAATCGCTCTTGGTCTTTGCCTCAGTCACATTATGATCCGTCTTTGCCTCGGCTTCGTAATTCTCCGATTTCGCTTCAGTCTCCTGTTGGCTACCCTCATCCTCCTCGTCTGAGTAGTTTGTGGGTGCCTCGCCCGGCTTCAACAACTTCCCAACATAATCGTACCTCTCTGTAGTAAAAAAAACATAGATGAAAAGAAATTGATAGACTAGAGTAAAGTTTTCTTACGAAATTCATACAATGAATAAATCTATAATCTTTAGCGATTCTTGAGATTGTAATGTCATCTATTTGAACAACTGGCGATCGTGTCTCGATCGACTCAATTTAACATCACATTTTAGTTCGATATCGCTTATATATATTTTTTTTTAGCCTTGGAATAATGTGTTAATTTAATTAAAAACTTTGGCCTCACTCATTATTCATTAAGTTTCAAGCTTGTATAAGCAAGCAAGTAAAAGCTTAACAGACTTTGCTATTTCAACTGAATAAAATGTCAAGAATATTACATTCAAATTTACTAATACTCATTAATGAAAGTATAACATTTCTTCTGCTTTACACACCAACAAAGTATCTTACTGCACAAATAAATAATATATCTTCGAGAAATATCTGGACATACATATCCGTGTTGCACAGAAGAGTTGTAATTAGTTGCTTATCCATTTCATGCATTCTAAATTGTACATATGTAAATTAATGTACTCGTACAACATATGATGTCAAGAATCAACATATGACAACGTGTAAGCAATGACGTAGAGTATCAGTTAAAAATGTTTGCTTAAGAGAGTTTATTCACTTAAACTATTAAATGCCTAAAACTATACAAAAATTTAACATAATATTTATCAGCAAAATACATTCATCTATTAAAATTTCATGCAATTTGTCTGCACTGTTCATGAGAAACTTAATACTAAGTATATAATTTTGCACGCACAACCTTATAATAAAAACAATATATATATCAATTGATATGAACAATATACTAATAGATGATCATAATTTCTACATAACTTTGTAAAAAATGATACCATAAAAAGTGTAAAAAATAATACCATAAAAAAAACCACTATATCACTTACCACATTACATATTAAGAATGGCAGAATAATATTCACTACACTATTTTTGTGTAATGGTTAATTGCAGGCTAGGAAATTTTTGTTTTATGCTTTGAATAGCATTTTATTGAGCGAAAATGTGGCAAGATAGTGTCACGAAATTAGTTTTAATTTAACATTTATTATCTAGATATTAAAATAAATATATAAAAATGTAATTTTGTTTGATAAATAGTGAATTTATAAATAGCTCCCTTGATGCGCTCTGAAAATACATACCTGGTGAATAAATTCCTTAACTGATTCTCTATATCAATAACATAAACACTCATGCTCTCATGAGGAATCAGGAGAATTTTCATAGCCAATCCATACTCACCCTTAAACTGTTCTTCCCATTCCTTGACTGAATTCATTTCTGCAGTGTTCAAGTCACTCAAATCGTCATATTTATCTGTTGCTGCATCCACCGCAAACCTTGCCAGCGCTCTGCTAGCATCTCGACCACCAAATGCTTCGTATGGTCCACCTGCACAAGAATATTATACTGCAGTAGTATAACATCTAACAAACGTTTGTGAAACTTATAAGTAGTTAAAACAGAGTAAAGAAATTTTAAGAATATTAATTAAGCTTACAGAATCATACTCTCTTTCTCTCTCTCTCTCTCTAGATATCATTATTTAAGGATCAATATCTAATTTGTGTACAACAGCTAGTCATCTATTTACTCATAGTTTTTTACTCATGGTTTTTAAGCTTGGACAGCTCATCGTTTCGATAAAAACTATTCAAACATCATCGACGTTCGGGCGACAAATTCGTCCGCTACATATTCACCAAGACTCTCTTTCTCGCGACTCGCGATAAGCCGCTATCGCCACCGGCTCCGTATTACGACGTAGCGGCATAATAGGCGGTGACGATCATGCGACTTTCACGATTTTATTTTGCGCGTGGCGTGATATCAGCGAATTGTTCCTTCGGGTCGCGAGCTAATAAAGAGCGACTAATAAACGTGACCCAGAGAGCACAGGAAAGAGGAGAAGAGAGAGAGAGGGAAGGAGAGAAATAATATCGTGTTGCGCCTCGCAGAAATATCGCCCCGATCTGCGAGCAGTGGTACAAGAGATCGGCAGCAACGGCGGTGACGAGTGAATTGATCGTCAACGTAATGTGACTCACCAGGGCCGTAGAACTTGGAGCCTCTGGTTACGTCGTACACGCTGCCGTTCACGGCGACCAGTATCCGACCGTCGGGCCCTTTACCGTCATACTTGGTCAGTTCCTCGATCGCGAAATCGCGTCGCAGTTTCGGCAGCTTCTTCACTTCCGGCACGGGCTCCTCGGTCCTCGTTTTGCTCTTGACGATCTTGTAGACCAGGACGGCGATCACGGCCACGAGCGCGAGGTTCAGCGGGCTCCTGACTATCTCGGAAATGAAACTCGACAGATATTGCTGGCTCTCTTCAGCCTGGTTAGCGGTCGGACCCGGCAAACCGCTGTTCTCGGCCATTTTGACGAACTAACCGACCGTCCAGTAGAGAAACCGTCGCGGAAGACGGAGAAAGAGAGAGAAAGAGAAAGGAGAAAAATTACGCGAAAGTTATCGCGCGATCGAACGAGGAATCGCGTTCTTTCCTTCTTGTCTTCCTTCTTTCCTGCTTGTCCTTCCTCACGGTGTACGCGCGTGTACGTGCCGACGGACCCAAAACTAAACCGGAACAACTCGCCGGGAGGCGCGGATTAATATTGGCGACAAGGCGCCGCCGCTCGTCAGCGACTCGCGCGCGCTAGCAACGATGATCGCACCACACTTAATAACGATGTGTACCGGTGCGCGGCGCACCAACCACACGCCCGAACGTAGACGCGTGTGCGTACGTGTAGCGCACCACTACGGACAGAGTCGCAACGCGCCTACATACGTGGCCGCGTCGTTGAGTGCGTCGCAAGACCGTATCTGCCAAGTCGGGGCCTGATGATTTTAACGTCGCCCTTCTGATGAATTCCACTTTCAATCGAGTCACAGCTATGAGATTGAAAGAAAAATGAGAGATCGAGGGACTCTCCTTACGCGATAGAAAAAGCGTCTTCAAGTCCGCTGTCTTGACTGATAAATATTACCAGGAGACCGTGCAGTTTTATGCTCAACTCTGACAAACGCGACAAATCTTTGCATCTACTTATACTACATGAGGAAAGTTTCGTTAATGCGCAAAACATAAGTCATTAACCGATTATCAGAAATTAATATTTATGCAGGAATTAAAATAGAACTTTGAATATTTCATAATTGATAGGCGGTGAGTATGAGATGGCATTTCTTCCCAAACAGAACAAATTTGTAAAAGCTATCTAGACATTAAATATGCTTTTAGACTTTTTAAGACATCATTAAGATATCTTTTACAAGTTTGTTCTATTTGAGTTGTTTTTAAATTTTCTCTCTCTCTCTCTCTCCCCCCCCCTTTTCCTCGCATATGTATGTATATGTACCTCGCATTAATAGAATTGTTTGTCAGACACCAAATTACATTCCTGCAAGTTATTGTTGACGGTTCTACCGGTTATTTATCAATCACTTAGGGCCAATTTTTCAATAGCATTTTAAATTTGGATTCAAGTTTAAATTTTATTCTAACAATGCGTTTGTTTTGTTCAGAGTTAAGTTGAAATCTAAGTTTAAATTATCATTGAAAAAAACCGGCCCTTAGTCAGAATTTGGCGAATGTTATACTCTTATGTGTTTTATCGATTATGTTACAATTAATTCAAAGTAGAGGTAGGTAAAAAACTTATACACATTTATAAATAGGTAAAAAACTTATACACATTTATACTAAACGCATTAACTGTGTTCTCCAACGTTTTGTATATATCGTTTCCACTTTTTACTTCTCTCTCTCTCTCTCTCTCTCTCTCTCTCTCTCTCTCTCTCCTTCCAATGAGATACAGTTATTTCACGAAAAAAGAAATAATCATTTTTCTTATGAAACTTAAGTTTGCAAGAAAATAAGAACTGAAAGTGGGAATATTGACGCTTCTATTCTAAGGTTCTCTTATATATTGTAATGTCCATCCAACGGAATTCACGATAAATACGCATCATTATGCGCGTCAATTCTTCAAAGTCATGCTACGCTGTCACGTGTTGTCTAGATATATATTCTGTTGGTCTGAACGCGACAGCTTGTCGGAGAGCTTGTCAAGAGGTTAGGCATAACACATTTACGCCAGTCATGAGACTGTATCGTAATCGTGGACTTTTTTGTTGCGTTTTCAGTATTCATTTTTTGTACGCAATATGAAACTTGTGATACGATAAACTTTACGTAACAAGGTCACAAAACTGTGTGAAATTTTTCCTTTCCAATTACGAACTTAATTATAACAGTTATAATTTATTTATTGGCGTTTAATAGTCTCGTTTCCAAAATTTAGAACTTAAAATTGCCATAATAACGTAATAATTACGTTATTACGGGGAGTAAAATATGCGCATAAATTTGTACAAAACATTCTTAGATGTTAACTTATATTGGCGGCAAAAATAGGGCAAAGTTGTGCAACAATTTTATGGTAAATAAACGGTAGAAACTAATCAGATTTGCTGTATTTTTTTTCCTTGTAACGTTCCACGTTAATTGTGCCGATTTTTCATCATTGATAATAACAATATGTATTTGTTATTAAATTTCCACCAAAACTGAGCTTTCTAGGATTAAAATCTTATAATACAACATGATTGGACGTAATTCTATCGACGTGCGGGACAACTTTACATAGCTGTTCATGAGCTTTCAAAAAAATTGTGAAACATATCTGAGTTAAAACGTTTTATTTTATATTTATAGCAATATCTACATCAAAGCATGGCTTGCACAGAGCAAATGATAACACTAATTCTTTATATATATATATATATATATATATATATATATATATATATATATATATATATA